GCCACCTGGCTGGAACTCTCTCTTCAGGAAACCACTCTGAAGAGCCCCACCGTGTCTCTTGTGAAATGTGGACTAACTGACTTAAGCGCCTCTCTGGGTGTAGACCTGCAGGTGCGTTCTAGTTCTCTCCAATCCTGAGCAATCGTCCCCGCTCCTGGGTCACAGCTTCTCCATTCTACTGAACTAGAAAATCTGTAGTGCTGGCTCTCAGACAGCTCCTTAATCTCAGCCCTTCAGTTTGATGAATCTGATAGGGATCCTGACAGGACATCCCGCCCCCCCTCCCCCAAACAAGGCTGGCTTTGTTCAGATCTGTCCCAGGCAGGGACTCCAAGTGAGATTAAAGTGCAGGTAGAAATTGAAGCCAGGCACTGAAGAGGCCAGGGCCTCTGGAGGATCAGCCTGCTTTCTTCTCCTCCTCTCCCGGCTCCAGAGGAACTGATCACCACCCTGTCACTGGTCTGCCAGGTCTGGTGCCAGCATACACACACACACACACACACACACACACACACACACACACACACAGAGAGAGAGAGAGAGAGAGAGAGAGAGAGAAAGAGACAGACAGACTCAGACACACAGACACTCACACACTCACACTCACAGTGGAGAGAGAATGGAGGTCTCTGCCTTTCCCCAAGTCTGCGTTCTTTGCAAAGGAAGCATGCATTCCCAGAGTGTGACGCCTCAGGATCAATCCAAGGATGAGATTGCAAAGAAGGCAGAGGACGATCTCTTTGTAACTGTGGCTGGTATTGGGCTTGTAACAGTACCCGGGCTCTCCAGCGCCTGCTGGTGGGTGGACAGGACCCAAGTCCACTTCTAGCACTGACCACCTCTATTGACATACGTTGTGTCTATGCATATGTGCATACACGTATGTGTCCATGCTGAGCGTATGTGGAAGCCAGAGGTATCTTACTCTATTAGTCTTCACATTAGTATTAGTATTATTTTGCTTTTTCCAGACAGGGTTTCTCTGTGGCTTTGGAGGCTGTCCTGGAACTAGCTCTGTAGACCAGGCTGGCCTTGAACTCACAGAGATCCGCCTGCCTCCGAATCTTGAGGTGGGATTAAAGGCATGTGCCACCACTTGCCTGGCACCTTTTTTTTTTTTAAAGACCTATTTACTTTTTTATTTTATGTGTATGGGTATTTTGCCTGTATGTCTCTATATGTGCATGCCTGGTGCCCACAAGGAAGTCATCAAATTCCCCATGACTGGAGTCACAGAGGATTGTGAGCTGCCTTGTGTGTGCTGGGAATCGAACCAAACCCCTTGGAAGCACAGCCAGTACTCTTAACTGCTGAGCCCTCTCTCCAGCAGCTCCGCCTTGTGTTTTGGGATAAGGTTTCTCATTGAACCTGGCACTCACTGACTGCCAAGGCTAGCTGGCCATCTCCGCCCGCCAGTGCCAGAATTGGGGCATGTGCCACTGCACCCCGGCTTTGCTTTTGTGCAGCAAGCACCTTATTCAGTGAGCCACCCCCCAGAGGCCAGCATTTGCAAAGGAGGAAACAATATTTTAACCCATATTTAGAGATGATTTGCTTAAATCACTGGACCCACTGTGGAGGTTAGGTAAGGGGATGGGAGGGAAGTGTTTTTTCAACTCAGCTAGGAGGTGATGGGCTATTCCCAGTCAGTGTGGTGTCAAAAGAAAGAGAGAGAGAGAGAGAGAGAGAGAGAGAGAGAGAGAGAGGCACATCCAGTGTGTTCCTCAAGGCATGGCAGTGTAAGTCCTTAACCCCAGCACTCGGGAGGCAGAGGCGGGCCAATCATTGTGTGTTTGAGGGCAGCCTGGTCTACAGAGTGGGTTCCAACCATGACTACACAGAGAGACCCTGTCTCAAAAAAATAATAAATAAAAAAGGAAACAGTCTTCTCCTCCTCCTCCTCTTTCTTTTTCAAGACTGTTTCTCTGTGTAGCCCTGGTCATCCTGTAACTCATTCTGTAGACCAGGCTAGGCTGGCCTCAATCTCAGAGACCCACCTCCCTCTGTCTGCTAAGTGCTAGGATTAAAGGCGTGCTCCACCAGTGCCTGGCCGGAACAGTCTTTCCCACCGAAGCCCAAGGTCTGACACTTGAATACTGTGTGATCTTGTACTGAAAGCAAAAGCACAGGAGATAGATAGGTCATGGGTCATAAGATCAGCTATCTTAGATCTGTTATTAGCACTCTCAGAGGAGGGGACAGCAACAGACTCCTGAGCATTTGTACCCTGGCATCTGACTTTACCTGGTACTTTAATAAGCTTTATTGCCTTCATAAGGCTAGAATGACCATCATCCTATTTGACATGAGAACAGACCTGGGATTAAGTCACACTAACTCTCAGAGTCCCCAGGCTTTCATGAAGTCCCAGGAAATCAAGTTTGATGAGACAACTGTGAAATGACAGGCCTACTGTGCTGGGATCAATAGACTGCATTTGTTTGGACAGATGATCCTTCAGACTACAGTCCAGGAGCAAAACTAGCTTGAGGCAAGGAAGATCAGCTTGTATAATGAGTCCAGGACTTCTACAATGGGAGGAACCACTTATCCACTTCTTGCTGCCTCAAAACTGGAATAGCATGGGCCACAAGGTACCAGAAATCCTGGAGACCTCACAAGGCTCTGTGAGGGCTAGTGGGGAATGACTCACCCCGGCTGACTCAGTGACTACTTCAGAGAACACCAGCAGAGCATGAGCGTGGGAACTAAGACGCCTGTGATCCTACCCAGCGAAAGGAACTAAGGTTGCCCGAGCAGCTCAGAGAGAGAGCCCATCCTGGCATCCTTAACATTATTTGGGACCCTCTTCAGTGGTGACAACCAGTGGCTGAAAAGGGGGAATGGCACCGGGATACTGGGAACAGACAGAGAATCCTTAAACGCAGATGTCATGCTGGGGAGGGCAAGAGAGCCCTCAAAAGGAAGATTTTGGAATTTGTGGTAATCAAGCAAGTGGGGACCTGAGTGGAAAAAAAATGAAAGTGACATCATATTTACTCTTCAAGCTTGTGGAGCAGGTCAGACCAGTAAAGCAAGGAACTGGGGATATTGCTGACCCTTGATTGAGTCTTTCTCTAATGGTTCTGCTCTTAAACTTTCATCAGTCAAGGTCAGGCAAGTCAAGGCTGGATTTAAGAGCAGATGTCATAACCTTTCACGGGGGCAACAAACACTGCGGGCACAGGGGAAGCCTCGTAACCCACAGCCAGCTGCACAGAGGCAAAACAGGACTTGCAGCATGAACACACAAACACTGCCGCAGCTAAAGGGTCCTCACGGTCCATTCAACTACACTCCTGCAGCACTCAGCCCTGCCCTGGCACACCACAGAAAACCGAAACACAGAGGTCTCTCAAACCTCAGCCAGGCGGCAGGTGGGGCTCCCTCTGCCGGCTGTCAGTCACCTGCCCCAACTTCTACTGCCCAGAGCACCTGTCTCTTCTCGAATTTCATCTACCCACTCAAGAAAACCGACCATCCAAAGCAGACAGCTTCCTGTGCTCTGTCACTGTGGCCAAGGCCAGCAGCTATTTCCAAATGGATTGAAAATTTTCCCTGTCTCTCCCTCTCCCTCTCCCTCAGTATGTAGCCCAGGCTGGCTTCGGCTTGTGAGTGCTGGGACTATAGGTCTATGCAATCTTACCAGCTGTTTAGTCATAGTAATGACACACTCTATAATAATATGACGTGCAATGTGACAATACACAAGCTGGCAACTGTCATCTGTTAATGCTAACATGCATCACACTGTCCTTTTTCTACTCAGCTGGCAGCACAGTGGGTTTGCTGGCACCAGAATCACCACAAACAAACACCTGTGTAATGGATCCTATACCCTGACATCTGTCTTTGTTAGGGTTTCTATTGCTGTGAAGAGACACCATGACCACAGCAACTCTTATAGAGGAAAACCATTTAACTGGGGTGGCTTACATTTTCTGAAATTTAGTCCATTATCATTATGGTGAGACATGGTGCTGGAGGATCCTACATTCTGGCTTGCAGGCAACAGGAAGTGGACTGTCTCACTGGGTGTGATTTGAGAAAAATGAGACCTCAAAGCCCACCTCCACAGCGACACACTTCTTCCAACAAAACAAGGCCACATCTCCTAAGATTGCCATTCCCTTTGGAAGCCATTTTCTTCCACGCCACCACAATGTCACAAGAGTGCCCTATCACTAGCTGACAGGAAGCTTTAGCTCCAACTCCCACAAGCAGCTACCTTTTGGCCACATCTCAGACCTGCAGTAAGATCCACCCTCTGAGGCCCCGACTTAAGGATTCAGGCCCATAGCGTGTTCTAGAAGAGGGAGCCCAGGCGCAGGCTAGGCATGTCTTACGGAGAGACACAGACATGAAGTGCAATTAGAGCTGCTCCTTTAGCAATGTGGGGCCCAGGTGTGGCTCTAGTTACAACATTCTAGGGTGGTCCTGGTTTTCCCACTCATCCCCTGGCTCCACGAGGCTTCCTGCGTCCGTCCCTCCCTGCCTTGCTTCTCATGTTCTTGTGATGCTTGGATTCGCTGTTGTAATCTTGTCAACTTGACTTCCAGCTGGAGTCATCTGAGAAGAGGGAACCTCAGCTGAGGAACTGCCTCTATCAGACTAGTCCATGGGCATGTCTGCTGAGCATTTCCTTGATTCTTGGTTGTTTCCTTGAATATCTGAGGGTCCAGCCCACTGTGAGAAGTGCGGAGATTTTTGTTGTTACTTTGCTTTTTTGAGACAGGTTTTTCTTTGCAGCAGCTCTGGCTATCCTGGAACTCGCTTTGTAGACTCAACAGATGAACAAACAAAAACAACGAAGAAACCACCGCAATGAAAGTTCTTACTCCAACCCTTCCATTTACCGAGCAAAGCTGCTCACGGAACCCCAGGTAATATTACTTCCATGTTTTCTGAAACCATTTACTCCAAATACAACCTTTGAGCAGTTATTGCTGGCAGGAAAATGGGAGAAAAGACATGAGGTAGAGTATAACTGCTAAATGAGAGTCAAATAACATAGCAGAGTGGCTGGGCTCCCTAATGGAGCCTCCTCCAGCTAAGAAGACTGACTCCATACATTTTTAATGAGCCCCAAACCTAACAACAGCATGTAGCAGATACTCTAAGTGGCCTTCAGAGCCTAAAATATTACTGTTTGGGGTATTACATAAAATGTTTGCTGACTGATTCCCAAAATGACTGAAGGGCTCCCTGAATCATCACTCTTCATTTCATTCCCCTATCCACCATCCATCTCCTAAGAGAGTGAAGGCCAGCGATCAAGCACAAGGCTGTTTGGGGATGAACTCAGAGAGGTCACTGGACACACATACAAAGTCTTGATGAGACTGGAAGGCTTATACACGTATCTTAGACCCAAGAGAAGGGCAAGAGATTTCTCAATACTCTTAACACCAGGAGGCCGTATCTCCCACTGTTCACTCATGATCACACTTCCCAGGAACTGATCGGCTGGTGAGAGCAGCACTGTGCGCCTACAATTCTTGGGTACACATTCTATCTTTGTACCCTATAGTAGAAGTCAGAGCAAGGCCACTCGGTACCTAGAAAAGGTCCACGCCTCTGCATCCCAAACACCACAAGCCCAGTCGTCCCCCCTCACCCCACCCACTGCCTCTGTGGGTCTCACACTGCTTTCTCTAGCTGGAGGTACGGAGAATTTCCCCTTACAGCTATGGTATTAGGATGGCTGATGCTGTGGCCCATCTGGCTTACCTTCAGCCCCGGAGGGAGGACCTGAGGGTGGCGGATCTGGATGAGCGTGAGTGTCACAAGCACCACGATGCTCACAAGCAAGACCACCAAGGTGACGATGCCTGGAGTCCGGGAGAGGGCCCTGAAGCCTGCATAATGGTGGGAAGCAAAGCATAATGACTTGAGTTCCAACACCCAGTAGCTGTTCTCTGACCTCCACACGCAGGGGACACACACTTACACACTCACACACAGCCACACAAACACACCCATACCCCCCCACCCCACCATACACTCACACATACACACTCACACTCACACTCACTCACACACAGTCACGTGTGCACACACAACACACCACACACTCACAACACACACACACACCACACACTCACACATTCACACCCACACACACAACTCTCATACATACACACTCACACAAGGAAATAAATACGTAAATGCAAAATGAAAATTTAAGTGAAAATATGTAAATGAAAAGTGAAAAATTTAAATTTAAATGCAGATTGAAAATCTGGGTTTTCAGTTGGGCAGTGGTGGCACATGCCTTTAATCCCAGCACTCAGGAGGCAGAGGCAGTTGGATCTCTGTGAGTTCAAGGCCAGCCTGGTCTACAGAGCAAGTTCTAGGACAGCCAGGACTGTTACACAGAGAAAGCCTGTCTCAAAAAACAAACAAACAAACAAACAAACAAAAAACAAAACACAAACAGGAAGAAGAAGAAGAAGGAGAATAAATCTGAGTTTTCTACTAAAACATGTATGACTTTTTCCTTAATCTCAGTGAAAGAAATTAGAACTGTGGATCTTAGCAAATGGAAATAATTTCATTTCTGTAAATGAAGTAAAGCTGTAAAGCAAGCAGGGAACACACCTGGAAAGACTGACCACCTGAAGGTTGGGTTCATGGGGAAGGAAATGTGGATAATTTTCTGCAGTAGTGGATTATGGGGTATGAGGGTGCCTGTATTTGTCAAAACTCACTAAGCCCCTCAAAATCCTTTGGGGGCAAACTTGAAATCAACCAAACTAACTTCTTCTGTGCAACTCGCCATTTGAATTTTATAATTCTCTGTGATTGCATACATGCCAGGCTTGTGGCAGCCAGCACTCGGTAGGCGGAGGTAAAAGGATCTCTGTAAATTCGAGGCCAGTCTGGTCTACATAGAGTACCAGAAGAGCCAGGGCTACACAGTAAAACATGAAAGAATTGCAGGCATAATCCTAAAACATATGCATTCAGAAGGTGAGACTACCCAGTTAGGGAGTGTGATGTAAGATCAAACCATTTCTCTCTGTGGTTTTTAAAAAATATAACAGCTAGTTAATTAAAACATTGAAGTCGGCTGGGCTTGATACTACACGCCTGTAATCGTGGCACCCCAAAAGCAGAAGGCCCAGAGGCAGGAGGACCAGTAGTCCAAGGCTTCATTAGCTATGTAGAAAGTTCAAAGTTAGCCTGGGCTTTTTAGGAAAACAAACAAACAAACCAAATCTTGGCTAAATAATAGTCTTGGTTGCCAGGCAGTGGTGTCGTACACCTTTGATCCCAGCACTCAGGAGGCAGGTGAAACTCTGAGCTCCGGGTCAGCCTGGTCTACAAAGCAAGCTCCAGGATTCTCCCCAAAAAGGTTTTGGTAGAATACTAAGGCATAAATACAAATAGTATTGACTGAATATGATGTAATTATAGAAGATGAGAAAACATCAAAGTTTCTCTTGAAACTGGCTGTTTAAGTGCAAACTAATTGAAATAAATAAATAAATAATTCCTCAGTCACATTTCAAGCGTTTGGGCCCTCAGGTGGCCCTGTGGTTGCTGTGCAGGATGAGGGTGTTACAGTTCATCGCTACCACTCCATGCCTCAACAGCCATGGGTGTATTCAACCCTATTCCACAACGTTCCCTCTTAGGTCATTGTAGACTATGGTTCACTTCCTCTTTATTTCTAGATTTTTTTTTTTCCTGGAAGAAAACAAAGGCTGCATGCACCACCTTAATCAAATTAGTTGCAGCCCCATATCCAATTGCATTGCCTTGCTTGCTGCCTGGAGGGCGGGGGTGGAGATGTGTGGCTCAGGAGCTCAGCTCCTGACTGTCAGAATAGACAAAGGGGCCACCTAGCACCTCCCTCCAGTCCCTTGTAACTGGAGTGTAACTGGTATGGCATCTTCTGTGGAGGACAATTTGTCAGTATTTACCAAAGCTCAGAGATGCTCACCCCCTGACCTCACTGCACTTCTGGAAACCCACCTCACCCCCATTTAACCCACGAATGTGAGGGGACTTATGGGCAAGTTACTCTCAGATCGGAGGAGAGCCTAGCCCTGACTCTCAGAGCATTGCTCCAGATGAAACCTCCCCAGCCAGCTAGGAACCAGAGAATCCACAGAGATGAACTCACTCCTACTTTCAAACCTCATCAGTGTTAGTAACAGAGGTTTAAGGGATGTTTTCCCCCCACAAGACCTAGTAGAGTTAATCTGCCAAATTTAATCTTCCTTAGGAAAGAATGTAACCAATCAGCTTGTATGTGGAATGTTATAGTATGTGTGTTAAAATTCCAATGTATTTGGGGGAAATGTTCGATGCAATGTAAACCATCTCCTTTAGTATAACTGCTTTTTCCAAAATATTTAATATAAATTGGTCTTTATGTTCTCAGGCCATACCCTTTTGGAAGTCAAGAATCAGCAGTTTAGGACATAGCTAAGGAAACTCTTCAAGGGGAGGGGTGTGTGAAATCTAAGCAGTCTCCTGACCACAACCATGGACTGGCTGGCTGGCCTCCTGAATCTTTTGGGCTTCAGCACTTTCCAAGTGAAAAGCTATGATTACCTCCAGCAAATACTTACCCAGCAAAAAAGCTTATTACAAAGCGAACAGACTAGGCTAGGTCTCCTTCATGAAGAAATACAGCCTAGAGCTGTGCAGTAGTTAGGACTGTGCAAACATTGTTAATTGCAGGTGCCTACCTGAGCCTGGAGAGGAGGTGAGAGCCTGCTGAGTGCACACTTCCTACCTCCACAGGAATAGCTGGGGGGAAAGTGTTGGGGAGCCAGGCTGGGCAGGCTTGGGAATGTGTGGGAGGGGAAGAGAGGGAGAGGGAGGGAGGGAGAGAAGGAGAGAGGGAGAAGGAGAGAGGTTCCCGTGTAGCCAGCCTATCATAACACTGACCCCCAAAGAATGGAGGGTGTAGCAGGCACTGTGCCAGGACATAGCCAACTCTATCAGGATTCATCCCCAAGTCAACAACACATAGCCCAAACCTTACGCATAGCTAGGTAAGGAAACCACAAGAGCCAAAATAATGGATTATAGAAACAGGAAAAACCATTTAAGCCAAACTTGTGTTAGCCCTTGTTTCGTGTGGCTTTGGGCACAGCATCACTTTTATCTGAAGAAAGCCAAGGGTGAAACCTAGGTGAGCCACGGTGGCTGGCGTCTAGGAGCAATGATAAACGGCCATTCACTGGAGGCATGGATGGATGGGTGCAAACCAAAGCTGAGGTTCTCTGGGATCTGACAAAACCACCCTCGCTCCCTGCCTGCCATTCAGTGAGCCACGCTTACCTGCTTGTTCACAAGGCTGGCGGGCCATCACGGTAAACATCTCTGCCGGCTGAGGGGGAAAGAATAGAGAATGAGAGTCTGACCAGCCCCTGACTTTGGAAGTTCAAAAAACAAACTTGCACGGATTAATATCGAACGCACGTCATCGCCTCAAGTTGAAGCCTCTTTGGGAACAGTGCGCTCAAACCCAGAGCTTCAGATACCAGTGGAAGCTGGACCGACAACCCCAGCGTTCTCTCCCTAGATGTAAAGCTGGAAGAATGGATATGCTATAACTTTAACCAGAGGGCAATTTTGAAAATAAAACCACGAAGGAGTGTGTGTGCTCTTTTGGTCTTCTCTCCTGTCGGTCGCTCCACCTGTGAACTGCACAGAAGCACAACAAACCCTTCTCGTAGGGACAGTCACAGGCTCGGGTTGGGCTGTACTTCACCAGCAAAGCCGGTTCGCATTGGTGTGTGCTGGTAACTGCCAGCATGCAGTCACCCCTTAAAGACCTGTGGGGTATCTCCAGCTCCCTGAGAGGAACACCGGCAGACAGCTGTCAGGCCTGGCGATCACACTGGGGACCCGGGAGTTGGCCGGTACTCTGCATCTGCAGGTCTTGGGGTGCATCATGACGCGATGTCCCCTCCCTGCCAAATGACAGTGCCCAGCTTCCCGGGTTTCGCCTCCTGCCTGTGACCCTCTGCGGGAAGCGATGCCCAGTCCTTCCCTCCCCGCTCCCGCCCACAGCCCGCTCCGTCCCATCCATCCCTTCGCGCGGGTCCTGATCTTACCTGCGCGCTGCGCTGGCTGCGGGAAGCTGAAAGGCTGAAAGGCGGCGCCTCCAGGGTGCGGGAGGCGCGGAGTCCCGGAGGCGGAGCGAGGCGGCGTGGGTGGCGCAGTCTGCGGGGACCGCCTCTGCGCCGAGGCCAGGACCTCTTCACCCTCCCTGGCTCCTCCCTCTCACTTCACCCCAGCTTGTCCTGGAAGGGGACGGGAAGGGGTCAGCGCCACGTCGGGGACAACCAATCCTTGCCGCCCTCTGTATTAGTTACTTCCCTTGTTGCTATGACAAAATACCTGACAAAAGCAACTTGAAGAAGAAAAGGTGACTCACGGCTGTAGGGTACCATCGGTTGCGGTGGGGCAGGCACGCTGGCAAGAACTTGAGCAGCTGGTCACATTGCATCTGCAGTCAGATACCCGAGAGAGACACGAAAGCTGGTGTCCAGCTCACTTCCCCCTTTTTATTTAGGGCAGGACGCCGGTCTAAGGCATTGGTGCAGCCCTCATTCAGGGTAGGTCTTCCCACATCAGTTAGCCCAGTCTAGATAACCAGCCTCTGACATCCTCAGTTTGTCTCCTAGGTGATGGTAGATGCTGTCAAGTCGACAGTATGAATTATCACAGTGTCTCACCAGGACCCAGCCAGCCAGCTCTCCATATCTTTATCTCCTAACTCTCTGGGCTGTCACGAGCTCAAGGCAGAAGAGGAGGTGATGTGACCTTTCCCCCAGGCCTGAGTGGGAGTGAAGTACCCTTTGCCTGCCAGTCCTCCAACTGTCAAGACAAATAACCTTTTTAAAGAAGAGAGGTATTTATTATGCTTGCCAGTGTGTGTGTGTGTGCATGAGTTTATGTGTACCATGAGTGTGCAGGTACCCAAGGGGTTCAGGTCCTCTGGAACTGGAATCATAGACAGTTGTGAGCTACCCTGTGGGTGCTGAGAATGGAACCCAGTTCTTCTGGAAGAATAACCAGTGCTCTTAACTGATGAGTCATCATCTCTCCAGCCCCGTTTCCCGTGTTGTCTTGAGACAAAGTTTCCCTATGTAGTCAAGGCCAGCCTTCTCCTTGTTCCCGTATCAGCCTTCTGGTGCTGGGTCACTCTTGGGATGCCTTACTTGCTACAAGGTAACTAGCTCCGTTTTCCTACTGTTCCCATCAAACCTTTCTGGAGGGAAAAACAGGACCAAGAGTGGAGCAGGGCAGGACAAACCATTCTGAGAGCACACGTGATTTCTTGTAGCCGCCTCCAGTCTCTCTGCGTATGGAGGGAGCTGGGTGAGGAACACCTACAATGTTGAGTAGGCACTTGGGTGCACACTGGGGAGCACACAACAGTGCAGACGCCTCTCACATGGTGGCTGATATGTGGTGCAGATACCAAGGACTTCCTTAGTGGTGACGGAGAGATGCTCTTCTCCATCCTGAGTGGCACTGAGCCAACAGTCAGGACAAGAACAGCTTGGAAGAAGCCAAATAGGACAGGTGGCAAAAGGGTGCAGCTCAGAGATCCGAAGGACCTCCCTCAGGGACTGCAGAGATCCGAAGGACCTCGGGGATGGAAGAGCTCTGAAGGACCACCCTCAGGGACTTCAGAGGTCTGAAGGACCTCCCTCAGGGACTGCAGAGATCCGAGGACTCAAAGTCCATTTCTAGTGCAGCCTCTTGATGCCTCTGAGAGCCCCAAGCAAAAAGTCTGAGTGGGAGGTTGTTCTCTTGTCCTTTCTGTCACTGTGATAAAACACAAAACCTACTTAAGGGAGGAACGGATTTATGTGGCTTGTGCTTCCGGGTCACAGGCCATCAGTAAGGGAAGCCAGGGCAGGAACTCAAGCAGAATCTTGAAGTAGAAGTCATGAAGGGATGATGCTGACTGGCTGCCTCACAGGCTCATGCTTAGCTAGCTTTCTTTATAATCCAGGACCACCTGCCCAGGGAATGGAGCTGCCCACAGTGGGCTGGGCTCTCCTACATCAAGACAATCCCCAGTAAACATGTCCACAGGTCAATCTGACCTAGGCAACTCCTCAATTGGGGCTTTCTTCTCAAATGACTCTAGGCTATGTCAAAGTGACAGTCAAAGCTAGCTGGGACAGAGGTCTTAGACCATCTCTCCTATGGCCCATTATGACTGGAAGGAAGAGCCAAGGGCAAGGTCCTTGGCCTCCCTTCCTTCTCCTAAAGATATATCAGTTTGCTCCTGTGCAAGTGGCACTGAAGTCCCTGTGAGACAAAAGGGCCTTAAGACAGGAATGAACCTAGGGCTGGCGAGATGGCTCAGTGGTTAAGAGCACTGACAACTCTTCCAGAGGACACAGGTTCAATTCCCAGCACCCATATGGCAGCTCCCAACTGTCTGTAATTCCAGTTCCAGAGGACCCAACACCCACGGCAAAGAACCAATGCACATAAAATAAAGGTAAGAAAAAAAGTAAAAAAAGACCTCTGAGCCTAAAGAGGAGAGCCCAAGCCACAGTCCGTGTGTGTGTGTGTGTGTGTGTGTGTGTGTGTGTGTGTGTGTGTGTGTGTGTGTTTGTGTGTATGGTCCCTGCTGTGGGGCTGGTGTCTATCCTGCACTGAGGCAGGAGTGCTGGTTACTTTCTGAGAATTATTTTCATTGAACACTATGGGGCACTGGAACATAACACATTTGATAGAACCCAAAGTCACTGTGCATCCAGGGGGACAGGAGTCCACTGACCCCAGCTGACGCTGCACTCAGCCTGAGCTCAGAGACATCTGCTCTGTATCTCACCAGAGTTGCTGGGAGCTGTGAAAGGCTCAGGGGCCAGGGACCTTGCAATGCCTCTGAAAATAACTGGGCCAATTTTGCCTTTTGCTTGCTCCAACCTGTGAGCCTTGTGAGTATCAACCTCTTCTGTGAGCCCATCTTCAGCTCTTCTTTTATTTTCCCAGATTTCCCTGTAATCTCTGCTCCAGGTTCAGACTGAACAAACATCTCTGTAGCTGGCAGACTAGCCCAGTCATTCAAAGGTGCTTCACCATCCTCCTGGCAGCACTGTACTGGAACACACAAGCACCCACTGCCTTCACTCACTCTCCACTCGTGAATACACACACACACACACACACACACACACACACACACACACATACGTAAGCCTTCAAAGCTCTGATCACAGGATAACGCAGGCGCTTTACTTGCTCTCCAGTATGTTAGAAAGCTGCAATGATTATACAGGATTGGCTCCAGGGATTTATTTAACTATCTGAATAGCAAGATAAACTGAGTTGTAGCAGACAATGGGTGTGGAGCTTAGACTACGCTAAAGGAGAGGCTGGGATCACTTGTTATCTGAGGACAAATACTGGGATGGTGTGTTATCCGAGGACTAACCCTGGAACTTCTGGCCCATCGGGAAAGGATTCTAAAAGTTGAAACAAGAAGAATTCAATGTACTAGGAAAATACAGAACATTTTTATCATTGGAAGGAACCATCGGTTCCAGCATAAGATCAAAGCAAGAAGCAGGAAAGAGATGCACGAGAGGCAGCTGGAGAAACTTCGGGGCGGTGTAGGAATGTGACCACAGGGCCAGGGAGATGGATCCGGGGGTTACAGGTGATGCTAAGTCTCCCCACCTGGATTCCACCCCAGGGCACACATGGCGGATGGAAAGAACAAATCTTGTAAATTGTCCTCTGCCCTCCACAATATGTCATGTCATGAGCATCGCCAACCCCCAGACAAAAGAAATAATCTAAAAAAGTAATGTCCCAGCAAAGAGCTCCCTCCCACTACAACATAGAGTGAAGTCCTGTTAAGCTGTAGAAAAATAGGAATATCTAAAGTAGAAAAATAAATGACACACAATAGTCAATTTTCAAAAAAAATGTAAATGGCCATTTTTGGAAAGGGGCTCATTTTCATTGGTTTCCAATGAAAACGTGATCACAAAGGAATATGCCAAGTGTCTTAGGGTTTCTATCACTGTGAAGAGATGCCGTGACCACGGCAACTCTTACAAAGGAAAACATTTAGTTGGTGGACTTACAGCTCAGAGGTTCAGTCTGCTATCTTCATGGCAGGAAGCAGAGTGACGTGCAGGCGGACATGGTGCTGGAGAAGGAGCTGAGAGTTCTCCATCTGGGTCCACAGGAAGCAGCAGAAGAGCTGAGTACCATAGCTTGAGCATATATGACATCAAAGCCCGCCCCCACAGTGACACACTTCCTCCAACAAGCCACGCCCACCCCAACAAGCCAACACCTTCCATAGTGCCACTCCCTATGGGCCAAGCATTTGAA